TAGACGACACTTTCACAATTTTACCATCTGACAAAGTAACTGCATTTTTAGACCACCTTAACTCCATAAACTCTAAAATACAATTCACAATGGAGTTAGAGGCAAATAATTCTTTAGCTTTCCTAGATGTTTTAGTCATCCGAAATCCTGATAACACTATTGGTCACACTGTGTATAGGAAAAAGACCCATACCAACCGATATCTAAATGGTGAATCTCACCATCATTCTTCACAGTTAGCTACCGTGGGTAAATCTTTGTTTCAGAGAGCACGAGGGATCTGTGACAGAAAACATCTGGCCGCGGAGCTTCAGCACGTCAAGCAAGTATTGCAAGACAACAAGCTTCGGGTCCCGCGCCTACGTCACAGTGAACGAGTGAAGCCGGCCACAGTCGAGCGCGCGCCTGCTCTACTACCATATGTTAGAGGAGTCACGGACAAGATTGGCTACATCTTGAAGCGAGCGTCCATTAAGACATACTACAAGCCGCTGAAGAAGATTAGTCAATTTTTACCATCCATCAAATGTAATATTCCTCTACAAGATGCAGGTGTGTACAAGCTAGATTGTGAATGTGGTCTCTCTTACATAGGTCAAACAAAGAGATCTATAAAAACCCGCGTGAAGGAACATATAGCTGATGTGAAGCACCGACGCTCCGGGAAGTCTGCAGTCTGCGAACATGTTCAAGATCGTCCCCACCATTACATTAGATTTGATAAACCACAAATTCTCGCAAAAGAACACCGATTCCTACCAAGGATGATACGCGAGGCTATTGAAATTAAAAAACATCCAAATTTCAATAGAGAAGATGGTTGGGTGCTACCATCTGCTTGGGATCCTATAATTAACAAAATTAAACCCAAACCCAAGCATACCACTGCAAGACTTCATGATACTATAAGCTCGTTTTGCGTAAATCGGACCAAAAATTAATATTAAAAAACTGAAGGTAGCCGGACTATCTATGACATTGGGACGTCAAACATCTCAGTCCTCCCCGTGACCATGGGCGCTGTAAAGCACCCGAAACGTCGGGATAATAATAAAAACAAATTTAAGTAATTAAACGCGATAAAATCCGTAAATAATAGTTTTATTCAATGTGTAGTGTTCGCGTAAATTTAAGAAATCATTAACTGCGTTGAATGTTTATTTTGATTGACTTTTTTTTCTTTTATATTTATTTCGTTTATTTTATTTATAACCTGAAAATCTAATCTTATTAAAACTAAAAATGTGATAAAATTAATAAAATATTGCTATAATATAAATTAAGCAATTATTTAAAAACTAAACCGTTGACATTTTGTTGTTTAATTTTATTAGTTGATTGACCGTTAGCGATCCCACAGATAGCTGTTCGGTATTTGGGTGTTTGTCCGCATGAAATTTATGTTTATAAAACGTCATTACAACACAGGATAATGTTATTCTAAAGAAAGATAGATTTTTTTAAAAAAAATAACATCATTATTATAATTATAACTATCAGTCTCGAGCTCGAGCTGACTCGTGCTCCCCGAGTCGGCCGAGTCGCCTCTCTTTCCTTACAGCAGACATCGATTCAAGTCAACTCGAGTTACGATTCGAGTCAGTAACCATATGAACTCGAGTAACTCGAGTCAAAAAAAAAATCCAACTCGTCACATCAGTATGGTATATATATATATATATATATATATATATATATATATATATATAGTTAGTAATCTATGGATTACTGACTATATACATGTACATGGTTACAAAAAGGACAAAAAGAGAAAGACAGCAAAGAGCAAAGACTTCTGTATATACAGTATATATTACTTTACTCTATGAGAAAGACACTCACAAACAGTGCTGCCAGATGCCTTGAACCTTTTATCTGTATTAGAAACCACTAAAATCTGTATTAAATCTGTATGCTATTTAAACTTAAAGTCTGTATAATATAATAAACCAAAATAGAATAATTGATCATGATCATCATTGCTTCTTTTGAAAAACAGGGAATAACTACTAACGTGATAAGCTGATAAAGTTTGATTATCATTATCAAATATTTTTTTATAGAATAAGGGTGACAAACGAGCACACAGTACACCGATGGTAAGTGGATGCTGTGGCCCATAGACATCTATATTATTACATCATCAAATAGAAACATAACATTTAATGCACCTAAATTAAGTTGATAATAATATTAATGTAACTTTGGTTACTAATGTAATGTATTGTAACGTGCTAATTAGAATAATGTGTCGACAGCAATAGTGTACGGAAAAACTCTAATAAGTTTATGTTTACACTATAACTATTCATCTTTGTAATCATAAATTTCTTAAATAAATAAATAAATAAATAATAAGTTTATCCTTGCTAAAGAATCAAAACGCAGATGCGTTGTTACACCTGAGGACTAAGACGGAATGCCTCTTTTCCAGTAAAAAAGGGTCTCCGGATTTCTACACTCATCATACGAAGCACAGTAGTATTAAGCTGGTATTTTACGCTGGTATTCTGTGAGAGCGTGGTCTTTCCCCGTTCGAGCTAAGTCAGTCGTGCTCCAACCATAATATATCCGCAGCGTGGCTCTACAAAATATAAAATATACACTATACACAAAAAAATTTATATAGCAAAATTTAACATTAATTTAAGCAAACAACGTATTAAAACTCATCATTTGCAACAAACGCACATATAATTAATTTATTATTTTCAGTCGTACATATTTTAAATATACATATTATATAATACACTTGTAAGTCTGCCGTATTAACTAATTACGTTGTGAAAAAATAAGTTAACCATAAAGAATAGAATCATGCAATGATGTGTGTAACGCGGTATCTATGATGAAATATTATTATAGTCACTTAATTTTGCTTAGTTCTGTTTTAAGTTGAATATTATGGTAAACCAATCAATAGAGTTAGAAAACTCTGTACATAAAAATCTGTATCCAGTGCTAATCTGTATCACACACCGAAAATCTGTATAAATACGGGGAAATCTGTATATATGGCAACACTGCTCACAACCACCCCACAAACCATAGAGTAAAGTATTAAAGTAATATAATATCCACAAACTAATAAGAGTACTAAATGAGTACTAACGTACACCCGAAGCGTAGACAGAGAATCCTATAGACTCCGCCATAGCGTGTCGCAGAAAGGGACAAAAGAAAATACGTCACTATATTTAGGGTTACAAGAGTGAGGAAAAATTTACCCCACAACTAGCTATAAAATTAGAAATTAGTACGTGAAGTAAGCATGAAATGGAACACTGCTATTAACGATTATCATTGATATGTATTGTAGTTGATGGAGAGCTAAGTGGACTGTATTTGACTAATTATTTATTATAATTTACTGTGGTGAAGAAAGAAGAAACTAAAAAATTGTGATATCTGTCTGACTAATAAACTTAAAGAAACTATTGTGTAATGAATGAGAGCTTAGTGGGCTGTATTTATGTAGGTTGTGTTTTAATATTGAAGAAAGAAGATACTGAACTAACTGTTACCAGCCCTCTGTCACTCTTGCTACCTGCGTGAAATAATTACCTACAATCGCTAGGCACCCAGGGTAACATACGCAGTCGGGGCTAGCGCGTTGTAGGCGATTGAATGTTTGTTTTGAGTTTTTTAACGTAACATAAACACTCACGCCTGACACCCAGAGGGGTAGGCAGAGACTACGGACTTCCATTTGGCACGATCCTTACATACCTCTTTCGCCTCCTTTACATCCATATATCTACGCATACATGCTCGTCGGTTAAGGGTACTTCTAACGTGGCTCATTTTCAAAATATCGCCAATTTGGTCGATAAACTTTTTTTTAACGGTGTTTACGTAATTAGTTTTTTTTGTAAATACTTGTTGAAATAGTCTTTCTTTAGTGTTATTTATATTATTTTACCTATTTGATAATTTTTAATGGAAAAATGTCGCTCCTACTATAATTGTTGCGTGGATGGATGCCAAATGCCCAAAAAAGGTTTCAGATATATCATTCTTTAAAATTACCGAAGGATTTTAGAAACAAGTTATGAAAGGTGAATTTATTTCTTTTTTTTTGTTAGATAGGTACTGATAGTAAAAAAGAATTAAGTAATAACACAGTCTATAAATCCATACAGTCGTCCGACTAAGACGTCTAGACGGGGCAATCGTGCAGGGTGTGTGGGGTGAGACGCGGGAAGGACGAGCCCGATCTGCTTATGCCAATCGTATTAGTAGCTCGGGACACGACTTCCAGGGTTAGCGCGCGCTTGCTTTTATTATTTTTAAATGTTATCATCCATTTTTATATCCAAGATGGCGGACATTTTTTAATAATATGATATGAGTATCAATTTCGAGATTATTAAAAATGGCGACACGCTAAGCGAAACAAAAAATCTCATCGTTCTTTCTCATTTCTTTACACGACATCGGCGTAAGTTGCTCTTTCTCTTGTGTGAGTGCGATAAAAGATATCACTTTGTCTATAGCATTCTCTGTCTACGACCCGAAGACACTCTATGATAGAGTCAGTGTTGCCAACTGCTAGCTTTACTTTACCCAGTAGCTAGACATTTTCAAAATGTTGCAAGACTTCCAGTTTTTTTACCCTAAAAATTTGCTAGAAGTTGCTAAATGTTACAGTAGATAAGTAGGTTACAATAGAATGCCAGTTTCTGATAATCATTTTTATTCATTAATTCCAACGAGTAGTTAAATTATGTCCTGTGTACGCAATTGAATAAAAAATAAATTAATCAATTAAAGATGTCGATGGCTGGGGTTCAGCATCTTTCATTGATTTCGAATATTTTTCAACGGTGCCCATTTTATGCAGTACGTCTTTAGGCAAAACACAGTTATAGCAGCATTTACCACTTTTCCTGAGGGATTCTCTAACGCAGAGGATTGAGTTCAGAGTTTTCAAACTGATTCTGTTTCTTTGCTTATTTTTCACTAAATTGATTTGAAAGAATTACCTTTCTACCTCTGTATTAGAATGTGGCAGTGAAAGGCAAGTTAAAGCAAGAGTACTCATATCTTGATATATTTTGTCGCCGGAAGAATTTCCAATTTTTTTTTACTTCGACCCAAAACTGAACTATTTCTTCAGAATGCCACATATTTATATGTAGAATGTGCCACTGTTGCATTATCTTGTCTATTATTTCTGATGTAAATCCCAAAATTTCAGCAAGGACGATGATAGTGTTTAATTTAATTGGTTTTATTGCCTCCTCTGGACTTAGCAACACCATTGATTCTAGCTGCTTGTAGTTGTCTGGAAGCCTTTGTTGCAATTCCTTAAGTAATTGCAGTAAGAAGGTGGAGCAGCGTTGTCGTATTGCATTTAAAATTTCGGAGTCTAAATTATGTTGAGCAGTTTCAAACATGTAGCCAAGATAAGGCCTAGGGTTAATATCCCTGTCAGTTATTGGATCTAATAAGTTTCTGTTTACAGGTCTTGGCATTAAAATTCTCTGGCTCACTGATTCTATCAGTGTTGTGAGTGTATTGAGAAGTTTTAATGGATTAGAGCAGAGTTCCCCAAACTTTTTGTGTCGTAGATCCCTTGCCATGTTTTTCCGTGTTGGGTAGACTACCCTACTTACCTGATATTGATTTCCTGTAAATAGTGAGGTTTAGTGTTAAAAACTTAAAGTAAAAACACGTGTTAATTTATACATTTATTAATTGAATTTAAATTAAAACTATTCAAAATAAAAATTTGTATCTGTTATGTAAAATATACGTAACATTAAATAAACATAAAATAAACTATAAATAAAATAACATAAGCAATAAGCCAATATTTTTAGTGAGAAGGATGAACCTGATGCTTTAATAATAAATTATCAACATTTGGCGTCAATTTTGTAAGGGTTAATCCTAAATCTCCTCGGCTAATGATGCCCAGTCCATTTCTTTTTTTCGTTAGGAGATTGGTAACAGCGCTGAACCCCCTTTTCACTAGGTATGACGATGGGAAGGAAATTAAAAATTTCCTCGCTATATTCCATAATACGGGATAAGTAACGGATATATTGTTTTGCAGCCAGAATTGCTGATATCCGTTTTTAAACTGAACCTTAAGTTCTTCGTTTGTACTTAGTTCAGTCAGTTTTTTCGTCAGTTTCACATTCGTTTCTTCTATGTCACCACATGGATTAATTATCTACGGTGGTATTACCATAGTCAAAATATCCTCAAACCTAGATTCAAAAGCCGAATAGAGGGCATTTAAATGTTGAACGTAAGTTGAAACGTAGTCTTCCTGGCAGCTTGTCTGTGACAAATTGGGGAACTGAGAAAATTCGCCCGTCCAATATTTTGCTTCATTAGTTTAACTCTGGCAAGAAACGCTGATAAGATGGACTTTGTTTTAATCAAATTTAAACTGTCGCCTTGTAATTGCAAATTAACCATATAAAATTTTGTAAACAAATCTGTTAAATAGGCGATGTCTGTTTTCCTCATCATTAAATTTTCTTTTATATCTTTAGTATCCAGAAATTCTAAAATAGTCTCAAAAAGTGCAAAAAATCTTGTCAAACATAAGCCTTTCGACAGCCAGCGTACTTCAGTGTGAAGGAGTGATTGATGAAAGTGTTCGTCATTTTCTTCACACAACTGCGCTATTTGCGCATTCAACGCGCATTCCGCGTATTCAACGCGTTGCTTCGGATTAGGTTTACTGCATCAATGACTAAATGAAGTGATTCATGCCATACAACACTCAAATTTTTAGCAACTAAATGTTGTCGATGGATGACGCAATGTATTGCTAACACCCCTGACACATTTTGTTTTAAATAGCTTATAAATCCACGATAACGTCCAACCATGACAGGTGCTTCATCTGTAGCTACTGATATTATATTTGATAAAGGAATTGCTTTTTCAATGAAGTAGTCCTTCAAAACATGAAATATTGATTCACCTTTAGTGTCGGTTATCAAAGTTCTTGCGAAGAGCAGTTTTTCGTAGATTTCTTGATTCATAATAAAACGAACATATGCCAATAATAATGCATATAATTGCATTATCAGGTAAAGTTGACTCGTCTAGTTTTATAGAGAAATTTTTTGTTTGCAAATAATTACATAAGAAGCTTTCAATATCAGAACTCATTTCATCAATACGTCTTTCAACGGTATTGTTGCTTAACCTTTTGAGCGCCATAGTCACCTATACGTGACAAGCACCTGCGAGCTCTGAGCGCCAACGACGTCTATAGTTGACAAAAAAACCGGCCCACAAAAATATGAAATACGGATGTTGGGAAGTAATTACTGGTATTTTAATTCCACACCCCTCAAAGAAGAATAACCAAGCAACATGTGAGTATAAAAAACAAGTCTCCTAGAACCCACGAGTACTAAGAAACATTGAACTAAAATAAATGGATTTTTATCTAAGCAAATACTGTGTCAACTTGGCACCGCTGAAGGGACTGTAGCACCGCCCAAATTTCGACGGAATCAAAGGCTTTCTCATAGTCCACATACGCCAGGCAAAGTGGCAGATTGTACTCTTCAGTCTTCTGTACAATCTGCCGCAGGGTATGTATGTGGTCTATGGTACTGAAGCCTTTTCGGAAACCGGCTTGTTCGGGAGGCTGGAAGTCGTCAAGTCTGCGTGCGAGACGATTCGTAATGACTCTCGAAAACAGCACGTAGACGCGGCTCAGAAGGGAAATCGGTCTGTAGTTCTTTAAGAGAGCGTTGTCGCCTTTCTTAAAGAACAAGACCACCGCACTTCTGCTCCACGCCTCTGGAGTAGTGCCACCATGGAGGACGGAATTGAAGAGCTTCTGAAGGACTTCAAGTACCGGTGTTCCACCCGCTTTCAGAAGCTCCGCTGTAATTCCATCCTCGCCTGGGGCCCTGCCGTTTTTAAGGTGCTGGAGAGCCATTCTAATCTCGCTTAGACTGACGTCCGGGATATCATCGGAATAGTGTCGGATAAGACTTGCTCTTGGATCGTTACTCACACTTGCGTGTGGCTCCAACGATGATGTGTACAGCTGCCCATAGAACCTCTCAATCTCACTCAAAATCTCAGGTGTCCCGGAAACGATGTTGCCACACTCAGTCTTCAGCCTTGATAGTTGGCTCTTTCTGGCAGACAGATCTCTGGCAAAGACTTTGGAGCCCTGGTTCCGCTCGATCGCTTCTTTAATACGAGAAGTATTAAAGTTGCCAGAGCCAGAACCAGAGCTCGAAACCTATCCAACTGCAGAGAGGTGTAAGACAGGGTGACGTTATATCCCCGAAACTCTTCACCGCTGCATTGGAAGACGTTTTCAAGCTACTGGACTGGAAAGGATACGGTATTGACATCAATGGCGAGTACATCACTCACCTTCGATTTGCCGACGATATAGTCCTTATGGCAGAATCGCTGGAGGACTTAAGCACTATGCTCAATGACCTCAATAGTGCCTCCCAACGGATAGGCATTAAGATGAACATGGACAAAACAAAGATCATGTTCAATGTCCATGTCACACCTATGCCGGTAGTTGTTGGGAGCACTATGCTCGAAGTTGTTGACGAGTACGTTTACCTGGGACAAATAGTCCGACTAGGTAAGTCCAACTTCGACCGAGAGGTCAATCGACGGATTCAACTCGGCTGGGCAGCGTTCGGGAAATTACGACATATCTTTTCGTCAGGTATACCTCAATCTCTAAAAACTAGATTGTACAACCAGTGCGTGTTGCCAGTGATGACTTACGGATCTGAGACGTGGTCCTTCACTGCTGGCCGTATGAGGACGCTTAAGGTCGCTCAGCGAGCTATGAAGAGGGCTATGCTCGGAGTTTCTCCGCGTGATAGACTCAGAAATGAGGATATCCGCAGTAAAACCAGAGTGACCGACATAGCCCAACGGATTAGTAAGCTGAAGTGGCAATGGGCCGGCCATATAGCTCGAAGAACCGATAACCGATGGGGAAGAAAGGTTCTCGAGTGGCAGCCTCGTACCGGTAGGCGTAGTGTAGGGCGACCCCCCACTAGATGGAGTGACGACCTGGTAAGACATGCAGGAAGTCGATGGATGCAGGTGGCTCAGGACCGTGGTTTGTGGCATTACTTGGGGGAGGCCTATGTTCAGCAGTGGACTTGTGAAGGGCTGTAATGATGATGATGATGATGAAATACTGTGTCCAGCACGCCAAAGTCGTCTATGTTTGACCGCTAGTGTTGTAATGCGTTAGGCATAGATTTATTGCAAACTATTCAAAATTAAACGCAAACGTGTTATTTTTTTAAATTATTATTGATATTTGATTAAAACAAAAGGTAAGAAACATAAAACTATCATCAGCTACATAAATAAAAGAAAATTTTATCAAATCAACTTCGCATAATAAATCTAATATCTCAACTCTGGCACATCCTTAGCGCGTCATCGATTATCAGTTCACTGACTTCACTGGGCGCCGTGGTCAAGAATAGACGACACCCTGATGACGTCATAAACGAAGAGCGGAAAAAGCAGTGCAGTGCAACATGAACGATTCCTTAGAACTCATTCGCATTTTGGAAAGCGTCGATGATGATGAATTTTTTTATTTTAATAATATAAAATTACAAATAATAAATGTTTATTTTTTTTCTCAAGGTATGACGAGCAATTTTACATTTTGTGTTGTGCGATTTTCTTTCTCAATATAGGGTATTGACTGAAACCTCTATTATATTTGCTGATGACATTTCCATTATTATTCCGCAAACAAAAGACCAGAATTTAAATAATAAATTAAATCAAGTATTGAACCAGGTTACAAATTGGCTGACACATCACAACGTAGAGATTAATTTTAATAAAACCAAAATTATGCAATTCCCACCAGTTCAAGAATCACCACTGAATATCGCTTTACTTATAATAATATAGCTATAGGAACTGTTGACAACTTCAACTTGTTAGGCCTGGAAATCGACTGCCATATAAACTGAAAAGCCCATATAAATATTCAAAAGTAAAAAAAAGGCTATCAAAATTCACTTACGTATTACGAGAAACAAAGAAAACCACCGATGTCCCCAGCGCTCTGTAAGCATATTACGCATACACATCTTCGTGGCTGTCATACGGTGTCATGTTGTGGGGAAATAGTAAAGATGCACAGCAATTATTAATAATGCAAAAAAAAATTATAACAATCTTGGCAAACATAAAAATGCCAGAAAGTTGTAAGCCCCACTTCAAAAAGTTTAAAATTTTGACTTTGATGTCTATTTATATTTGGGAAACATGCAAGTTTGTAAAAAAACCACCCAGAACTATTTACTTACCAAATTAAGTGAAACAAATTACAAATACTCAACTAGACCAAATAAAAATAGGCTACTATTGCCGAAATCTACTCTTGCTTTGCATAGCTCTAGTCCCTACTGTATGACAGTAAAAAAATTTAAAAACCTTCCAAATGACATAAAAAATTTAACGAGTACTACATTAT